CAGCTGCGCCCCGCTCGGGCTCAGGGCCGCGGGGAGGGCGGCGCACACCCCCTGCGCGGCCGGCGTCCTCCGCCCGCGTCCGCGCCTTTTGTCTGGTCCTTCTCGGCGCCGCTGTTTCAGCTGCTTTTGTTGCAGCCCCGAGTCTGGAGTGCGCGGACTTTCTGCGAGGCAGAGGTCAGAAGTGAGGCTAACCAGCCTGGAGACGGAGGTGGGGCGAGGGTCCGCTGGGAAGTTATTATTAGCGCCGACAAGTATAAGCTGCCGGGTTGTTGTCCAAATAATACTCAGTGATTTTGCAGCTTCTAATAGATTTAAATGGACCCGTGAGAGCACTCATTAGTTAACTTCAAAGGAGCGTGATGTGGGCAGGTTACTTATTACTCCATTTTACTGCGGGGACTGCTGGGGCACTCACGCAGAAAAGCGAGTATCAAAACTAAGCAGTCAGTGCTTGGGGCAACGGGGATTAGAACTTGTGTGACGGATTATTGTCCTCGGTGTGCCCGTCCGGCTCGCATCCGCAAACAAAATTTAGTGATCAAAGGATGCCAGAAAGGTACTCATTTTAATTTACATATTAATTATTAAAATCTTTCCTTAAAAAATAGAATGGAATCTTTTCAGACTCCTAGAATACTAGCCCTAAAAGTGATACTTAAGAGATCAAAATTACTTCAGTTGTTGAATAGTATCGGTGGAGTCGAAGAGTCGAATTCTTTTTTACTTAAATTTTTCATTTCCTCTGTAAACATAGTGCTACTGGCAGCCGAAAGATATTTGATATGATCATAGCGGAGACCCTGAGTATTAATAAGTGGAATGGAAGCGTCGAGCTGCTAGGTATCCCCGAATATTGAGCAGCAGTTTTCCTTTTCTCGTAAAGAAATGAACATTTAGCAGAATCGTCATTTTAATTACGTTGATTAAAATTAACTTTATGGCAGTTGTATTCATATTATATTGTACTTTCTTATTTCCCCAAAGACAGGAGCAGTTTACCAGTTTCTTGACCATTTTCCTTAATAGTTTTTCAATGGAGCTTTTGTAACTCTGATTTTCTTCTTTTTTTTCCATATGATTTTTTAAAGTGAAGAGTTTTTTAAAATTTAAAAAAGAGCATTAAATTTTTGGAGGCTTTTAAAATAGTTACCTGGACGTTTATTAGTGAATCTGAGGACAGACCCTAGCCTCTTTAATAAGTAACTCGCATACATCAAGAAGGAAGTCTTCCAGGCACATAGGCAATAAATTAATGATCATTTTTAATAGACATGTAATATTTTATGACGCATCTACCTGAATAATAATAACAGCTTATACTTATACAGTGGGTATTTACCAAGAAGCATAATGCTGAAAAATTAACTTAAATTTCCCTAACCATAAAGCACAATGTTTATAGAACAGTGTCGCTAGACATAATTGGAATAGACAAAGTTCCTTCCCTTATACCACTTGCACTGAGGCATCTGAAAAAACATGATAAATTATCGTTTCTTTCATAGCATTATTTGGAGAATGAGTGAAATAATGGGTAGAAAATACCTTAGTTTTAACTCTGTGGAGGGAAACTGATTTGTGCCATCACAGTGTAACCAGACAGTGGGAAACTCCTTCCCTAAACATGTTATCATTTATGTTTTAAAGTGATAGTCTTCCCAAGTAGTTACCATAGGAGGCTAAAAACTTACTCTAGTAATGCTATTCCTATTTATAATTATTTTGAATCCTTTGAAATTTTGATTCATTTTACAAATAATATAAACCATTACTATGTTAAGGTATGTATGTACAGTATACACTGAGTAAAACATAAAGTATCATGATAAGCACTTGTTTGTAATACTAGGGATTAAACCAGATGTAGTGCTAGGCTGTGTCTTTACCCCCTTTGAAAAATTTTTGCTTGAGACTGGGTCTCCATACCTTATTCAAGCCTGCCTTGAACTTGAGGTCCTCCTGTGTCAGCCTTCCAAGTACAGGTGTGTACCACTATACCTGGTGTTTGTTTAAATAATAAAAATAAATGTAATATAGCTTGAGCACTTATTTTCTCTACTTGGCAGAATGATTTCTGCCTGATTACAAAACTTGATTCTACATTTTACCCCTATTAAGGATATTTAAAGGATTATCCTGATAACTCTGAAGGCAATTTTGAAGGGATGGGCAGTTTTAAAATAGTTTAAAATAATGACATTATTAGAATAAGTTTGCAGCCTTGCCAGAAGACTACACTGAAAGGGACAGTGGTTATTGTAAGCTGAAGTCTAATCTCTGTGTACATTACACACTGTTATACATATTGAAACTAATAATTTGTATTGTTACCTCACAGTCACCTCTTTTTAACACTTTGATTTTGTTGAGAATCAGGTATTTCACAAACTATATTTTAAGTAGGATATATTAAGTAGGTCACTAATTTTACTGGAACAGGACTAGTTTGGAGTGTAGTTCATATAGGTCTTTGAACTTCACATAAACACAAGTATAAATCTTGTCTAATTGACTTTTATTAGTGATTTTAGAATCATGCAGTATGTCATAAAATGAGTGCTCATCTGGGCATTGTAGAACAGTAGATTTTTGTATGGTGAGAACAAGGAAAAATAATTTAAAAAGTTGATCATGTTACTTTTATTGTAAGTATTAATATGGAAGAGATTCCCTTTTCTGCCAGCTCAGGTTGATAGGGCTGGTTTGTATTGATTGATGCACATCTCTTTTTCAGGAAAATCTGGTCTGATTGAGTATTACCTGCTTTCTTAAAGTTTCATTTTGATTATGTGGCGCTTAAAATGCATGACATCACTGTGCTTTGATCTACTGGGGCCTAGTGAAGAACTTCAGCCTATAACAATGGTGTTCTGTACATTTTATTTACGCCTACTTACCGCTCATTTTGTTCATGCATTTTTGGGCTTGAAAAATTAATAACTATTATACATCTTAGACCATTTGTGCTAAATAACAAAATATCTGAAATTGGATAATTTTGTTTTGTTTTGTTTTTGGTACTGGAAATTGAACTCAGGACCTCACTCTTGCAGAGCAGGCACTGTACTGCTGGGCTATATCTCCAGCCCTGAAATTGGATAATTTGTAAAGAATAGAAATGTACTTTTTTTATTTCTGGAGGCCGAAAAGTTTGGTGCCTGGTGAAGACCCTGGTCTCTGCTTCCAAAATCAACGCTTAGCCTCAGAGGCAGAGGGCAGATTGGTAAAAACAGGCCTAAGCTAGTAATCATCAAGCTTTTTTATAAAGCACTAATCCAGTAAGAGTCAGAGACATCATTATTTAATCACTTCCCAAAAGGCCTCACCTCTTACTACCACCACAATGAAGATGAAGTCTCAGCATTAATTTTGGAGGAGCCAAACCACCATATAGCATACATCATATGTGAGTGCCAAAAGGCTCTTCTAATGGTATTAACAGTTAAGGAGATATTGACTTGATCCCCCTAATTTATCACGAAGAGTTTTATAATCAACATGTGAGTTCATTTTCTGAGGTAATAGGAGTAGGGGATTGTCTGTACAGTGTATAGCTGAGAGTAAGTAATAACACTGTGATTACAAATATACTTCAGCCTACTGCATAATAAACGCATGATCAGGGACATATAAAAGCAAGAGATGCTTGTCTTTTCATAATCAAGTAAAAAATTGTATTATTCAGGAGCCAAATTTATATTTTAATCAAAAGGAAATGTTAACTTTGACAGAAATCAAAGATTTTTAGATGCAGACTGTGGAATGTGCAAATAAATTTGCAGAAAATTATTTTCCCATAGAATGGCCCTTTCTAAAGTGAGTAAATGTGGTGATAAACATGTCCTAGTTGTACACATTGTTTGACTTCTAGGTCATGTGCATACCAGTCTCATCCTGACTGGTCCTTCAACTTTGATTGTCACCTTTGGGTACAATATAGTTGCAGGTAGAGAAGCTCAAGAGAAATGTGAGGATATCTGTTTTATATATAACATTATTTTTTTTCTGAATCTGGAAATTTAATGGTTCATTCTTAAAATCTTTTTTTTATTTTGAAGAGAAAAAACATAAAAACAATGACATAAAATTTCAAAACAAGATAGTAGGAGAGTAACTGTAGTTAATGCATTGTGTCTTGTTATCTTCAAAGTGGGTGCTCAGATTACAAGATATAGGCATGAAAAATTGATCAAACAATATAAACACAAACCTTTTCAATGAACTAATAGAAATTAGTAGTATAATTATCTTAACTATCATATATATATATATATATATAATTCTTAAAATCTTGTCAAAATTTTCCCTCATCAAAACAACCCCATAAAATTACCTGTATCAAAATGTTTTGCTTTGGACCAAGGGACCATTATTAAAACCCAGAAAGAGAAAGCAGTAAACAATAAAGTGTACAAAAATAGATTTGTATTAGTAAAATGTGTTCTTGGTGACATGAACATTAACTACTTAATACACAAAGTATTTTCTTGCTTTTGTAGGTTTTTAGAATATTTTTTGAGAAATAACCTGAATGATTGAGTCTCTTGCAACAGCTGGCTGAGGAAATTGCAGCTGCTACACTGAAAAAAAAACTTGATAAGTTTTTCTGTAGCAAGCAGAAATGCTAGGGAATGTCCTGTTAGCAATAAAACTGCCCTCATGTTCTGTAATCTCCTTACCTAGTTCATCATTTTTTTTTTGATAGTGGAAAACCTTGTAAACAAGCAGGGACCATTAGCATAGATTTTAAACACAGGTTAGCATAGATAACAGGTTTTTTTTTTTTTTTTTGGCCTTTTTTGATAAAGATTCTCCCTGTGCAGTTCAGGCTGGGTTTGAGCTCACTTTGTAGCCCAGGCTGCTCTTGGACTTGCAATGATCCTCCTACCTCAGCCTCCTAAGTGCTGGGATTACAGGCATGTGTCACCACGGCTGGCCAACAGGTTTTAAAAGCAGCTTCAAAACATTTTTATTTCTTTTTGTAGAATGGCTGAGATAAGTATGGATTATTCTGAATGAGAATTGTCTAGCCTATTCAGAAACCTGTGGCAGAAATATCCAACAGGCCAAAATTGACATATGGATACCATTTAGGACATCATGGAATCAAAGTATCTTATTTCTCCATCAATTTTGAAAGATAGTTTTGCAGGGTACATCAGTCTGGGTTGTTTTCCTTTAGGGCTTGCAATACTTCACACTAAACTC